GGAACGGGGAGGAGGATCGAAAGGGTGCAACTCCCACGGGTTGAGACAAGAACAGTCCAGCAACCAATGTACAACACAAAACACCACCGCTACCACCAATGACAACAATGATAAGAGAAAATAACAAGGGAAGAGAATACGATACCACTGGCCAAGAAACGAGTCCCACCCGGAAGCCCGTGTCCTTCTGGGTAACTCCCAGTTACCCCCCACCCCGGGCATGACGTGCTTTGGTATGGAATACCTCCTTGGCCAGCCCGGGTCAGGCGCCCCATCTCCGCTTCCTCACAGCTTCCCCTCCTCCCTGGCAGAGCATGAGCCTCACAAAGTCCTTGGTCAGGGTAAGCATCACTTAGCAACAACCAAAAACATCGGTTTCACCAACATTGTTCCCAGGCTGGCAGTCAAAACACAGCACTTCTCCAGCTACCACAAAGGAGAAAGGTGACTGCTACTGCTGAACCCAGGACAAGGCTCAAGTTGTTAATAAGTCTCACCTTCACTGTTGTCAATGAAAGATGTTAAACAGGTACTCTTACTCCATTTTAAATAAGAAAAAGGTTTTCGTGTAGCTATTCAGACACAAAAAAAAAACCAAACAAACAACAAAAAAAAACCAACAACAAAACAAACCCTAGTTTACTGAAGAGAGCAAGTTTGTAATAAGAGATCATTACAGAAGCTTGTATTTTAGCCACAGTGAGATATTCCAGATCTGGCATAAAAATAAAACATGAACAAGGCAAGTAAAATTTTTGGATTAGTGTTATATTATTTTTTAAAAGAGCAAGAACATGGAGCATTTCTTTCTCATACTTTAAACTCCTTTAAATTTGCTAGACCTACACCAAAGTTTCATTCCATTCAGTTTTCTGCCTCTCATTCTCCTTTTCCCCAAAACAAAGTCAAAGCACTATTAACTAGACAGAAATACAAATTTGCCAGGTGTTCCTTGAAAATAACAAAAGAAATAGACATCTTAATATAACCTACATAAATTTACTACAGTTCCTACAGTATCATAAAATAATAGCACAAATGTTTTTCTATAGTGCTGGCAAAATCCTTATCTATTTAGTTGAACTTTGTTTCCAACTACAGAATTTAACACTAACATTGAAACATTGCCACTGAGTTTCAGTTACTCAGCTAAGAACCTAATTAAACTATTTCCATCTCAGAAGTTATGAAAGGGTATATTTTTATAATGCATCCTAACTAGCTGATGATGTAGAATGGAGCTGAGAAATCTCTGGGCATTACTGTGCAGAAAGCCTGGGGAGAATACAGAACTCAGTAAGGTAAATGAAGCATTCTTTATCTCTGCTAGAAGTGTTATAGTTTCAATACAAAAGCATACTTCTTCCCAACCCACTCACTACATTCTACTATACTGAAATAATAAGTGAACCTTTGCAGCCTCCAGTGAATACATGTAAATACATTCCTTTCAGTTTGCTCAGCAGTGGAACAAGGATGTTTCAGTCTTATTAAATTCCTGGTGGTTGTTTTTTGGTTTGTTTTGTTGTAGGGTGTGGTTTTTTACTTCCTTTTTTTTTTTTTTGTCTGTGTTCTGGCACTAGATTAATGCATGGCGCTCTAGAAAACTCAGCATCTGAATCACCTTTCACTGTAAAGAAACAAGATTAATTAAGCAGTATCTGAACATAGCTTCCCTCATGAAGCATCTGTGACATAGTGAATTCATGATTTTCTCTTTTCTGTGAAAATATTACACCTGCAGGAGGATGTTTAGTGGATCCAAATGTCTACATATGCCTAGAAAAAATGCAAAACCATCACCAGTAGCTTCTAATGAGGAAAGCACTTTTCTATTATCATAATTTGTTCTAATTCTGCCAGGCAAACTGAGGTCTAGTCACTGAATCAGTCTGCAGACATTTAATAAAAACGTGGTTAAGGCTGGAGAACTGAGTCTCTGTGTGCACTGCACACACTCTTGTTGAGGAATTTATCTTCCCCATGTCACTGTCATCCTGCAATGAGAAACCTGACTATCACAGGTTTCTCTATCCAAAGACTTGTAAGAAAACCATAAAATACCCCTACAGCACAGGGGAAGAGAGTTGGGAGGTGGTTTGGGGGGGAAGATGGGGAGGGGGAGGGTTTCAACCTCTATGTTTGTCTATTAAAGTTCTCTTTACAGAGCAATACTTGCAAAAAGAACTTCTGAATTTAAAAAGCTCTTGTCTGTGATCAATATTACTCTATACTGCTTAAGTTTTGAAAGTCATATGACAAGCTGCCTTATCCCTTTGATTCATTTCACTGAATTCAAGGCCTGAGCTTTAAGTTTCCATCTCCCATGCTGCTAGACTAGATGACAAAAGAGACACTGTACTGCCAGCACAGTTGTTTATTCCAGTAGCACTGGCTAGTAAACAACCAACAGAGACATCCTTATGTAACTTCCGGTTCTTCTCAAACCTCAATCTCATTCCACCACCAAAACAGCTCACAGCAGAATCACCAACCTCCTGTCTACAAGGTGTCTGACACCCAGGGCTGCCTCTGCAACCATGCACACACCCCTCCACGCATACAGGTTCTCTTTTATTTCATAGAGATTAGATTTACTTTTCTTTCTTTTCTACTCCCTTTGTCTCCTGTTCTTTTCAAAACTTTTTGGAATTACCTTTCACTTTGCCACATCCTTTTTTGGAGGGTTCTCTATCATCAAGATAAGATTCAAATTTACATCAAATACACAAGTCTAGTTCCTTCTTTTGCATTTAACTGGGAGAGCTTAGGAAAAGAGAATTCTTGAAATTCATGTGAAAAATATCTAGTAACTTGCAAAATGTAAAGTGCCATGAATTACATCATGCATAGTGAAGTCTACTGTTCACATGCAGCTATGTCATGATGTTCCCATATAGGCTTAAACCATATCACCATACCTGAAATTTCCATATTCTTTCATATACTTTTTGATGATAAAATGCTCACTTAGCACAAGGAAACATTGTTAGTATAATGTTAGAGCATACTATTAAAATAAAAGTATTCACTTTGTATACCCAGAGAGGGTATACACTTTGTATACTCACATAGAGCCTCTTAGGACAGTGATTGAGGAAGGTCTAATTGTGGTCTCAAAAAAACCCTTGAGCTGTTGTTTGTTTTTTTTTGTTTTGCTTTGTTTTTTTAAATGAGTTTAAGACATGTTATAAATTCAAAGAAACAAAAGGACATTGTGTGCAGTTAACCTTTCACAACAGGATTCTAAGATCTAGTACCTTTTAATGTATAGATATATCTAGTGTACAGTAGAAAAAACTGCCCAAGTTACACTCTTAACTCTGGATTCAAAATAGCAGCACTCATCCATACTCTATCTCAGGATTGGCATACGTGGCATACCTCTGAGTTTAGATATTTCAGCTATAACAGAGTATGTTTGCTATGTAGTACTAGCTAATGTTAATAAATAAAAAGTAGCATATAATAAATAGAAGAACTCCCCCCCTTAAAAATGTAAGAAAATGCAAAGTAGTTAATGAAATCTAAGCAGCAGTTCAAAATCACAAATCCCAACTACTTCCAAGATTTAAGGCTGCAGCAACACTCAGATACATTAAATCTCTTACGTATTTAACAATAACAGTTACAGACTCCTGAAACGTACACAGGCAAATAGTCATGGGTACAACAGGATCAAACAACATAACCATGTATTCAAAACCATACTTCTCACATCTCAAGACTTTATATGGATGAAGAGAGTACTGCATAAGAAATACCAGCTTGGGTATTTACTTCATACCTAGCTCTTTAGTTTTGCCTATGAATGCCCAGCAGATATTAAAGTTTTAAAAATATTTCTTCATACTGCATACTAGTACCAAACTAATTCTGTGGTTGAAGCATCTTACCTAACTGTTTTACAACATAACACTGCCTGTAAAAAGTCATTAAGCAATCCAAGTACAATGAGTGGCATCATTCTCAGTCACGTGATGGATTTGAAATAGCCACTGCAGCACAGTGAGCTAGCAATTAGTATGAAATTTCCCCAAATATTCACTTCTGTTGGAGATTTTAAATAGTGTGTTCACTTTCATTCTTACTGCTTTCACTTTTTTCCCTTCCTCAAATTAAATTACAAAATAAAAAAAAAAATATATATAAAAAAAAAAAGCTAGTTACTTCACCCTAAGGTAAAGCCATGGTTTAAGCAGCCAGAGAACCAGAATCCAACTAGTAGTAGTGGGGCTTTGGGAATTGTTTCTTATGCCATGAATTTCTTATGTCCAAAAATTAAATCACAAAAAACATCTTCAGAACACCTTTTCATGAACATTATTTTATTCCTTTTAACATAGGAATTCTTGCTTTATTAACTATTTACTAAAGTTGCCCTTTCACTTTTCGAAAGAGGCACCATAAAACTGCTATTTACTGCTGAGGAGTGTACAAAAGGACCCTAGAGGTCCTTAAAAAATGTTAAATCCAGTTTCACTGTGCAGAAATATAACAATCAAAAGGATAATAGTCCTTGTATGAGACTGCAGGCAATAACTACTGTACCAAGGCTGCCACGAACATGAATGTTTTTATGAGGCAGGTAAAGCTTTATTAACCTCTTCATGCCTAAAACATGTATACTACATTAGTGCCATCCTGAATAATTTCAAAGACATGAAAATAAGTAACAGAAGGCAGATTAACAAAACACAGGCCACTAGTTTCAGTCCATCCTTGAAAAAAAATCCAGGACCAGCAAGAAAAGGAAGAGGCTGAAGGTGCAGCACTAAAATAGAGAAGACCAGATTGAAGGATGTACTAGCAAAAATTTTGCCATTAGGAAAGCATGTTATAGTTGGGCTTTTATTTTTTCCTAGAATTCAGTGGTCAGAACAAACACAAAAGCCATAAAAGACAACTATGACTGACTTTATTCTATTCACTTGTAAATTCTTGGGCAGTTTTGACACTAACCCTCTGATGATCTGATTCTTACACTTTCCCCATTTCAGAAACCCTCCTAGACTAAAAAATAAATCTGCAATACAACCAAGATCTTGGATGCAGAACATGATTGGGTTTTCATTGTATATGCAAGTTTTCCTGGAAACAGAAGTAAAACTAGAACAGCAAAAACTTCATGAATGGTTTTGGCTCACACTTATCCTGGTAGCATTCCCATCAGGAAGTCTGAAATTTCATTTCAGTAAATATTTCCATTACCAGTGGTATCGAAAGCACAGTTCTGTATGCCAGTTAGTACTTAAATTTTACGGGATGCTTAATGGAATCTTTTGTTACCATAAGGAACACAAACCCAGCACATATGCAAAGGCACGGGGCATGAAAGGCACACATTTCCAGTGCAAGGGCATAGATTAATCCCATATGTAAAACACTGTGGTAAATACTACAGTATCCAGCCTACTATTATATTTATGGCACTGAGACCCTTCTAATTCACACACCCCTGCATTCCATGGATGCACCCTTCATTACTAGCCAGCCAAACCATAAACACAATGAGTGCTCTTCCTTTAACACTGCTGTATAGAAGAACCCTTTCCCAGAGAGCTAAATCTCATGAATGGATTTGGATCCAATCCAGATGATCTGGAATTTGTCTCTACCTATTGGGCATCTCTGGTAGACATGCTTATACCTAACAGGTCCTATTAAGAAGCCCGGTTTAAATCAGAATAGGCAAATGGGTGTGCATCTAACTTAGAACAGCTGGCACAATTCATTGCAAAGAAGTAACAGCATAAAAATAAATTTATTTCCCACACTAACAGCAAACGGGAGAGTCAAATTAGCATAAATGTGTACACATTTCAAAGCCCTGCAAGCCAAGGCTTCTAACAAAAATGATGAGGAAACACACCTGCTCTCCAGACCATTTTCTCACAAAGGCTATGATGACAAGCAAGGACAGTAGCTACAAATTTCTGTGTTTTATTATTTTTCCCATGTCAATTCAGTGCAACCAACAGATGAATTCCAAACATTTAAATGTCAATTAAAGAAAACCTGAAAATCAATATGCATGGGAACAAAATGATTGGTTTTAGAAACTACATTCTTTGTTAAGACTCACTGCCTAGTGCTTTGTCTTAATGTTTCACCCAGCAGAGACACTACCAGTTGCACAGACCCCACATTCTTACAGGCCACTTACAGTCACGTCTGAATACAAAATACAACAGCCAAGAGCCTGTGGCATGTCCTTATATATATCCCAAGCAACACAGGAGACAACTTGCTAGGAGATTTCAAAGGGCATTTTACCAACATCAGGCTACTCTGTACACAAGTCCCTGCCCAGCCTGACTCATGCTGCGTCCACACTAACATCTTCCACATTTGCCCTGTCCTTGCCAGAGCTCCAGTGCTGGCAGCTGGTCTAGACTGGCAGCTGACATTTTAAATGCTATGCAAGACCTCTGGCACCTCCCTCCACTGCTGCCAAAGGTAATGCTACAGTAATTTGTGCAATAGCTTAGCAACCCCCACAGCAGACTATCCCTTAAAGCGCAAGAAAGCTGTAGATGCTCAAGGGACAGCCTATTGCAAAACAGGGACAAGGCAGAGCTTGGAGAACTACAGTGCCAGCAGCAGGTTTTAGACTGAGCCTCCCAACAGCTATGCACACACCACCTAAAAGCTACTTTAGAAACACCTCACTGCAGGATGCTCTGAGCCCCTACCACGGTGTATGTAGACTGTCCAAGGAGAAAGCTACAGGGCTGCAAACACATGGCCCTCCTGTGACAGACAGGAGAACGCCCTGTCATGAGGAATCACAATGCATGAAGAGCAACTCCTCTCCCCACAGCAGTCCTAACCCAGTTATAAAATAACCCAGGCCATGCCAAAATACTCCTCAAAATATAAGATTCCTCCCATCACCAGTGGAAGAAAATGATTAGTGAGGGCACAGAGCAAAGCAGAAAGACACCACGTTAAACACTGCCAGTAAGCAGCATTCATGAAGAAATGGGAAGAGAGGTAACAGACCCCTCCTGCTTTCCACCCCCTCCTCAGTACAGAAGGCTGGCTGTACAGAGAGGGCAGAGGCAGATCATGTCATAAGGCAGCCCAGAGCACAGATCTTGCTGCAGGTGTACTCCCCTTGCACTCAAAGCCATGACACAGCACACTCAAAATATGCCAACTGCTGCAATTCCTTCCCTCCCTTCAGTGAGAGATGAGGTGAAGCCCAAGCAGCTGCAAGCTACTGCTTTATGCTGATAATCATGACACCTTATGAAGAAAAGGTGAAGAAAACATGTTTCATCCAAGGGAAGGCCAGCTAGGAGCTTCAACCCAGGATGAAGTTCCCTATGTGCTAGGACTTGCTGAGGATGGGAAACCACTTCCTGCTTGTCCAAAGAGCACTATAATTAGCACTTGCTTGTAATATTAAACATCACTAGATTTGATCTAAAGGGTTACTGGGAACCCCTAATGCAAACCTGAGCTATTTAAATCCCCTGGACCCAAGGGCAGCTATAAATACTTTGGGTATCCATTTCGAGAGCAGCCCATGTGAACCTAAGTTACTCTGTTATTTTTGCACATTACATAGTCTTATTTAGTGCTGCCTTTGCATGCTTACATGACTCTCAAACAGCAATTCCTCATGTGCAGTAAGTGTTAATGCAATGTTTTTAAATACATTGGCTATGTCACTGTGAGCTTTTGCTGAACCTCTGAAATAAATGAACTGTTCTGGTGACTGACATTACCACCATGGTATGCATTCAGGGCAACTCTCCTTTCTTCTTGCTTTCCCACAGGTAAGCCTTTGCTGTGCATAGAGATGCCTTCCCCCCGCCATCTCCCAGTCTTGGAGAAGGGGTTAGATAACATACTAGCCCATATTCCAGAGAGGATATATGCAGTACACTTCTAGTCTGCATATTTAAAAAGCAGATTTCCATGCATGATACCAGCTCACATGTTTACAAACTCTCAGGCCACAAAGTGGAAGTTGGCCTGCTAGTGCATTGACACCAAGAAGGTTTCGACAAGTGCATCAGGAGACCAAATTTTTTTTGCACAGACTACTAACGCTAGAAACTGATCTCCAGTTTTAAGTACTGAGTGTTTGAAAAGGTAAACCGAACATATAAAAGAATTAGTGTGACTAAAGAAATACATGGGCCTTCAAAACTCTCTGCAGGATTTCTATTTCTCTTTACAACTGTAATTTCAGTATCATACTTCTTTGGGAATTCATACATAAGATTAATGCTATCATGCAAAAGAAAGCTAACTTCCTGAGATAACATCTGAACACCTGGTGTCTCAAAACCAGAGCAAAAATATAATCTTTAGCAACAATGTCAATGAATCTTAGCTGCTAATTAAAATAATCCCCTACTGGTTTTGATGAAAAAGGTCTGGGTATGAATTACCATATCAGAGGACAGAAAAGCACTTGCATGCTCGTCAAGATTATAGGATAAAACACTGCTTAAGAACAGCAGAACACTATGTTCAGTACTTAAACCCAAGTTTTTTCTTAATCTCTTGAAGTTTAACTTCAGAGGGCTGCTTGCTTACCTATCTACCTACTAAACCTACAACACCAACTACAATGGTCTTCCTAAAGTGAAAGAATATTTTTCCCATGGGAAATCTCACATTTAAAGCTTTAATTTCCCACAGCATTCTCAGCTCTCAGAAACTGATTCCTAAAATTCTGCACACACTACTTTAGAAAGTGAAGACTACAAAAACCTTTTTTTTTTAAGATACAGATAATAGAAAATTTAATGATTCCTTACCTTTAAATTAATATCTTGATTCCAGCACTTAATACATTCAAGAAACAGTCCCAAATGCTAAAATATAAAAGCTTCCTTCTAACAAAAGGTAGACGAGAGTTAAAAAATAATCAGACTTCCCTTTTCAAAGATTTCAATTTACTCTTTAGCCTTTAATTGACCTGCTTGGTATTTGGGAGCCAAGATCAAGGAAATAAAAATCTATCAAAAATCACCTTTAAAGATGCAGAATTCTGTAATTTTCCCTTTTTTACTTTACACAAAAACCACTTGTTCTCCGCAATAAACCTGCCCTTTTCTCCCCTCCTCCTACTTCCATTCCCATCCATATAAGGGCCAAATTTACTGGGGGGGTTGGGTTTTTGGGGGTGGTTGGCTGTTGGTTCTCCCCCTCCCCTTATAGAAAGGCCCGGATGGTGCACTCAGCAGGCTACAGATTTTCAAACAAATGCTTCAAAACTTCCTGTGCAGTTCTGGAAATGTTACTCAGGACTCAAACCAGCAAACATACCTGAGTGCAATGAACTGCTGGATAGTGGTATCCTGAACTTTCACACATCTTTTCTTATATCAGTAGATGTGAACTTACTAAAGGCCAAAAAGTGGAGAGCCTTCAGCTGTTTTTTCTTGAAATGCTGACAATGCAGAAGAGCTTGAAAAACACTGCGTCAGTATGGCTACATTTCTATTGCTGGCAAATACAGAATGGCTATGTCATTTTGATAATTCATCAGCAACTTGCCACAGGTTGCAAACTTCAGGTTTGGGGCTTTTGGTTTGGTTTGTGTGTGTTTGTTGGTTGGGTATTCTTTTTTTTAACAGAACAATGCAGAAGAAAACAAGCACCTCAATGCTGACGCTACAAACAGGGCCACCAACCTCTGAAACAGGAAATGAGTCTCCTACCAACAGCCTATTTGAAAAATCAAAACTGAAGAGTTTCAGAAAAGACATCCCAAAACCTCTTCAGAGAGGCTTTCTACTTCAAACAGGTAGGATAAAATTACTTTGGAAAGAAGTATCGGTTCGTATTCTGACATTTGCCTGTTTCTTAAGATTTTGCACCCCTACAGTTCTTATCATATAACTGCATCTGAAAGAGCTAGACAGCAGCACTCCCTCCATTTAGTTTTTAAAACTTTTGTCATTATTTGTTAAATCTTGCATATTGATGTCAGAACAGGAGTGACAGAATTCTTACACTGAGGAGAAATTCTTAAAGCATAAACATTAAAGAGGCTGGAAGAGGGGGCAGGTATCCCATTCCCAGACTAATTTTAAAGTTCATTATCTTGCATAATGAAGGTCTCCCATTTACTCTAACAGAGTGATGTTGCATAACTGTATTTCCACTAGTAAGATGCATACATTAGTGTTGTAAGTATTGACCAGAACTAGCTAAGTGTCATTGGCTGGAAATTGCTACACTCCTGCACTTGCAACCTTCATTAATGCATCCCTGAACCATAGTTTTCCTGGTTCAGCAGTAGCAGTCATTTTTCTCCTTCTTAGTAGCTGGTGCAGTGCTGTGTTTCTGACTTTCAGCCTGGGAACAGTGCTGATAACACCAATGTTTTTAGCTGCCGCTTAGTAATGTTTAGTCTGACCAAGGACTTTCTGAGTCTCATGCTCTGCCAGGGAGGAGGGGAAGCCAGGAGGAAGCAGAGACAGGACACCTGACCCAAACTAGCCAAAGAGGTATTGCATACCACAGCATGTCACGGCCAGCATATAAGCTGGGGGTAGTTATCCGGAAGAGCTAGATCACTGCTTGGTCAGGCTGGGTATCGGTCGGCGGGTGGTGAGCGGTTGTATTCTCTTCCCATGTTATTTCCTTTATCATTATTATTATTGGTGGTAGCAGCAGTGGTTTGTGTTATACCTTCGTTACTGGACTGTTCTTATCTCAGCTCGTGGGAGTTACATTTTCAATTCTCCTCCCCATCCCTCTGGGAATGGGGGGAGGAAGAAGTGGGGGGAGTGAGTGAGCTGCGTGGCTGAGTGGGCTTAAACCACAACAATAGTTTATCAACAGCCTAAGAAGTTTACCTGTAACTGCAAATCCAGCATAATTTTTAGAGACCAATTTTTCTTCTTCACAATAGTAACAAGTTAAACCTGTGGTATGTTAAATCAGTCTCTACATAAAGCTAAGATTTCCCTTCACGAAACCATAATTCTGAGCATTCCTCTTGAAGAAGTCTCATGTAAAGAGATTAAATACTGTAGCATCAACAAATTACAACAGCTCCTGAAAATTTAATTATTAACTAGAGCTTATTACTCCATTAAAGATGTTTCATGATACACTAGATGTTTGCACAGTTTTGAAGGTTGGCAGGAGAATGTAACAGTATTTCTTCATAAAACAAACTCCTGATTCTTATCTAGTAGGCACATGTTTGTGGTAGCTACCTCGTTATCCCAATAGAACAATATATTTTAAAGTAATTCAGTCCCATAGTTTTGCCCCTTGTTAAGTACAAATGGCAGCAAAAAAAGAACCAAACCCCAACATAAGGACATAACACTTTGGAAAGTCAAAAGAACTTTCAAAAGTGATACCCTCGGGGCTTCTCATTACTGAATTCTGTATTCCGTACAGAACAGAGGAAGAATCCTCAAAGCTCCAGCGGTTTTGAGGTATGTGTCCTCAAAAAAAAAAAGGCGGAGGAGGCTCCCAGACAGTGCTTTGATGATTGTGTAACTTTTACGGCTTGAGTTCTCTTCAACTCAAGTACTTGCTCACTAATCTCACGGATCTTTGGACACTGCTAAACAGAAGATCACCAGGCAGCTGGGCTTCAAATACCTACACATGTTGACACTATTTTTCATTTACTTGTAATCATACCTTTTCTCGCTTACAAAAGTTCCCCTCAGAAAAACTTCAGCTCAATCTCAAACCTTTTAATCAAAACCACACTAATAATAACCTTCTTTTCTAACAGACACAAGTTCGTTAAGTCCATACTTTCTTACATCTTAAATAACTTGTTTGCATATTTTTCTCTCTTGTGGAGAGGTATCTCCACAACCCTCTGCTTAACATGAAGTATCATTAAAAGCAAGAGACTCTTCAGGATCTTGCCTTGATGCTTGATTTCACCACATTAGAACTCAAATGTCTAAGGTGAGGGGCTTTCAGGTGCAACATATTTTAAAACTAGAGGGCGAGAGGTCCTGTCTCAAAGAACCTCCCAACCTTTACTAAATAAACACCCCAATGTAATTACATATTATGTCATGAAAAACAGGCCAAAAATACACTTAAAAAAAGCTTCCAGTTGAGTTTTCAATGAGGGTATTTCTTTGTTTAGCTCAAGGCGAACAACTGAGAAAAAGGAAACTTAGCACCTACCATAGGAAACTTGAAACATGAAAATAAAACTACTGACTTTTTTTTTCCAAGACTTCTTTGAAGTGCTTTTTAAAGTGTTAATATAGTACACTAACATAAATACTAATAACATATCCTGACTCCAAACCATGCTATTTCTCTCACCTTTGAAAAAGGAGGAATCTGAGAAGTTACATATTTTGAACATTAAAAAGGAGGCAATTTAATTTTCCTAGTCACAAAAGATTTCAAAAAACCTTCAATACAGTGGGCTTTGAAAATTACCCTAAACACAAAATTTCTTGGACTTAAAACCAAAAGGCATCCTCAATTCTGCATGTTTCCACAAGAGGACACTAAAATAACAAGAAAAATAGTTTTACAAAAATGTACCACTCCATTCACCACGTAGATTCGTTTCACTTATGAATTATTCTGCAATGAAGTAGACATTAATGTATAATTGCATTTCTACTAATGTGCATTTTAATCATTCTAGTGATTGGTATTTGGCTTTTAGTGTGCCTCAAGTAGCATGACAAACATGTATTTAAGCTTGTTGTAGACAAAAATCAACAGCCAAGTGATGCCACAGAAGTAACCTTTCATTTGAAGACTATTAACCCTAAATTCACATAGAAGTAAGCACATGCCTAACTTCACAGTACCACTTCAAAGCACAACTGGCCATCAAGAAGAGGGCCTGCTCAGTTGTGCTTACTTCTCCCACTCAAGTCCCCTAACTCCAATCCAAGCTGGTCATATCCAGACGTGAGGGAAAAACAAAAGCACGCAACTGAGTTAAACAGAGAAAAGCGCAGCCCGTGTGCCTCGTAGCTCTGGGAGAGCACCTCGCAGGGGCAGAGCGGGCTGAAAGAAAGCAGGCGTTACAGAGCAAGGGCAGGCTGGGTCCTAGGCCTCCCATTACCTCAGGACAAGGGACCAGCCATGGAGCCCTGCTTCTGGGAGCCCCCCGCGCCGACAGAAGCCCTAGAAAGCTCTTTCCCACACCTGCAGGCCATGTTCTCCAGACGTGCTACCTCCTCCTTGCTTACCTACCACAATTCAGTTTTAATCACTTGCTACTCTCCCCACTGCCCGGCCTCTCCACAGGCGGCGTTTCCCACGAAGGGAGGTGCGAAACGCCAGTCGAACACCATCTGCAACTCTGCCCTGACCGCCTGCAGGAATTACATCTACTACACCGCTCCTCATGCTTGGTGTACAACTGCGCACCTCAGCCGAGAAACCCTAATACGCCACCGCCACAGCAAGGCAGACGTGAGGACGGAGTTCAATCGATTCTCGCGAGAGCAGTGCCGGTGGCCATTTTCCCCATTGATTGGCGGCGGCCGCGGGGGGGTGGGGGTTGTGCTGCTGCCCCCACCGGCTGGGGCGGTGGCAGAGGAGGAGGATGAGCTGCTCGCGTTTCCCCGCCTCCCGCGGCTGACGACGACGCTCAGTTCAGCCTGCTGCGGGCTCAGCTCCGCGCCACCGGCCATGGTTCCCAGCGAAGAGAACCAGCTCGTCCCCAAAGAGGTGAGGTGGAGCGGGGCTGGAGCAGGGGGCCTTATACTGGGCGCCGCAGGGGGAGGGGGAGGCGGTGGTAGCGGTCGCCTCCCCCCCCCCCCCTCCCGCTGCGGCTTGCGGGAGGCCCAAGGTGCTGAGGTTGGCCGAGGAGGGGGTGGAGGAGGCCCGACGCGGCCCGGCCTGGCTCGGCTTCACTGCCTCCCTGTGAGGCCTGGCGAGAGGGGGGAAGGGCTCGTCTTTGTGAGGCGGCTGGGCAGCCTTTGGCCCACGGAGGGCCGGGCCGGGGCGAACGGCGGTGCGCAGGGGGAGAAAGGGAGGTTTTTCCATGTGGGCTGGAGTGGAGGAGGCCAGGGCCGAGTCTCGGCTACGCAGGGCCCCGGCGGTGGCCGGAGAGCTGCACCTGTCTGTGGCGGTATGCGGGGAGGCCGGCCTGCGTGGCGCCGGGGCCGGGACGGCGGCGCCTGCGCTGGGCCGCTCGTCGGGCCGCTCCCCGTGTCAGTGATGGTGTGCGGAGCTCTCCGGGAGGGAGGCCTGCGCTCGGGCCGGCAAGGACCAGGGGTCCCTAGTGAGCGACCTCAACGGTGGGGGCAGAGGGAGAGAGCAGGCCTCGGCTTCGAGGCTTGTCTATGGGTGTCCGAGCGCGTCCTCGGTTGAGGGAAAGGGGCCGACGTGCGAAATGGCAGCCGAGGGGGCCGTCGCCGAGTTTGTGGGGCGGCTCCGTGCCTGCCCGTCGCCGGTGCGAAGTGCTGCAGAAAACGGGCGGTAGTGCTTGCGGTGAGTACTGGGGAAAATGTGGGCTGGCTCATCAGGGTGATGAGTTTCCTTTATTGTGGGCCACGCGCCCCTTCCCTGCTGCAGGAAGAAGGGAGAAGGCTTGTTTTTTGCCATAGGCTAAAGATAAGAACCTGCTTGAAAGAGGAAGGCTGAGGCTCTGTCCTGCAGCGATAGGCAAATGACACGTGTCAAGTAAGAGCTGTACTGTTCAGAGGACAGATGTTCAGAACATCTTTGAGTGATGGCGTGAATTATTTGGAAACAGTTATTTGTAGAGTAGTAGTAGCAGAAACTATTTTGTGAGCAAGTACACTTACATGTTCAGCCAACTTTTCAGATGGTTTTACTGTTCTAATAAATTAACCCCTTCCTGTTTTTTTTTGTCAAATGTCAGTGGTTTGTTACCTCTACTTGTTCCATCATGTATTCATACAGGAAGCTTTGTGAGGCAAGGACTTCAATTTTGTAGAGTTTAGCAAAATGGGCAGCTGATCCTTAAGTGGTATCTTTGAGCAGACTGTTGAAACCAGAATTTTAGAAACAAATTTTTGTGTATGGTCTTGTACAGGTAAGTACAGGATGTGTGTAGGACAAAGGTGACTTTACTTGTTTGCTTTCTTAAAATCCTAAGGTTTAAAGAACTATGATAAGACTTTTTACAAGAAGGGGAAATCTCCAGGAACTTCAGACAAGGGATGGAGTGTTAAAAAAAAATATAAAAAAAAACCAATCTCCAAGGGCATAAGACTAAGAGTAGAAGATACTAGCTAGTGTACTGAAATACTTAATTTTAAAACTAAACAAACATGAGGGAAATTGGCAGGAGAAACCTTGTGGTGTTAGTTGTAGTTAACTGGAACTGACAAGGTGATTAATAAAAGCAGCAAGCTGAGGCTGTTTCTTTAGTTATATTTATTAATAGTTTCCCTGTTGGCTTTAAAGTTGTATTCAATATATATGTATGATTCAGATATGTATTTTTAACTGACTCCTTGGGCTAGGATTTTGAATGCACTTTTATCTGTAGGGAGGGGAAGTATGGCTAAAGAAAGATGAATACATGCTGTTATAGATATGGATATCTTAGACACACAGTGTGAAATCTGTAAACTTTGTATATAGATAGCACTAGTGTGAGTTGCTTTTTCTTACCAAATTTTCTTAAGTTCTTTACCCCTGTGCATTCTGTAAGTAAACAAAACTGAACAGACTAGAAGCAAAATCAAATTGAGGAGGAAGAAAAGATTAATTATTGATGTTAAGCCCATCTGGTTAGGTATATTTCTGTTACACTAGAAGTTTAGCTTCAACTTTCCTGGTGTTTTTCAGTATATCCTAATTTCAATTTCAGTGGTGGGAACTTTAACAAATGTTATGCTACAGCATTCACATTAACTCCTTCTGAGATTCAGTAATAGTCTCATTGCAGAGAACGCTGTCAGTTATGGGTAAACAGAATTTTCGAGGTCTCTGAATTCTCAGGAGCCTTCTAAATATTCCTATTATGTCATTCATTTGGAGTTTCAGTTCTGCCCTTTAGGGATGGATAAAGGAGTGTAGTTCATGGGTTTTGTCCCTTCCCAACAGGCTGAGTGCTGTTGCTTGGATAGCTCCCAGTCTTGTGCTGTCTCAAAGACTAAACCAGGGTGTAAACCAGTGTCTGTTAAAAATGAGTACACAGCTGAGTTTTTCATTTGAATTCCAGTGTAAAGGAGCAAGAAGTGCAATACTGTTGCTTCAGGCTGATCTGGGGAATGACTACTCATCTAAAAGAGCAGATGGGAAAAGGAATTTGGTTCTTGTTGACAAGTTCACATGGTGCATGGTAGATATTGTAGTAGGAGATGCTTGTAACATCATCAGCCTCTGTGTTTTAAGAAGAGAAACATAGGTATTATGTTGTTTACAAGTCGTCGGTTTGTGTTTGTATGTACACATATCTGTATGCTGACAGGAGCTCAGATTGCAGTTTTTTAAAGTATATTGTGTGGATTTTTTTCATTAACTTTTGTGAAGAGTAATAGCATGTTTTCATGAATACAAAATACTAGTAGTTTCACTGCCGCACTTAGAGAATCTTTTATTAGTTTCATGAAAACTTTTCTTTCAAATGTTACATAGGTTTAGCTGCATCCGTGCAGTACAGATAATCAGGGCCTCATTATTTTCTCTTGTTCATAACTTTGGCATAAAGTTCTTTTTCATTTGGAACAGATGTATTAAAGCAGTTTCTAATACCCAGTGTTGGTTTTTGTTTTTATATTAAGATTTTTGCCCAGGTTATACAGGCATTGAGTAAATTTGTTCTTGCATCCCTACCACTGCCTAATGTTTTCCCAGCCATTCCTGTAATTGTCTGCCCAGTAATTTGTTATGGTTGGGGCAGTGAGAATCCCTGTTCACTAGATCTGGCGTTCATTGTGAACTGGTCCATGTTCCTTTCCCTTCCAGTCCTCGGTTCCTGTAATTTCTTGATCTGAAAGATGAGTTACTCGTTTAGTTGTCTTTTGTATCCAGAAAAAACCCAGAAGGTGTTGAGTAACATACAGGACGTTGCTGCATGCTGCTAGCGAAAGCTAAGCATGTTCTTTAAAAATTGTTTTGTTGTTAGGTGTCAGTTTCCCCATTAGTCTAGTAAAACCCAGTAACCCTGGGAAGGGGAATACTGTAAGTAAGATAATAATGAAAATAAGAAAAAAATGGTGCTATTAGAAGAGAAAACACTATGGCTGTGTTTCTTAGAGAAGTAGACTTGAAACTTTATGCAAATCTACCCCAAATACAAAGCAGCAGAGTTGTCTAATCAACACAGTTGATGAGAAAGTTAGATGAATGTGTTTGATTACTGGTAACGTAAGTGAACTTTACTAAGACTTTCCTTGAAAATCAGGATGCATCAGAACTTAGTGAATATTGCCCAGAATTGATCAGAGTACAAAAAGTATGTTCTGCCAGAAGGCTTTTGAAGTGTCTGTGCCGCAAACTAAATAAATGCTGTGCAGATTCTTTCTCGGCATGTTCCAGCATAAGCTATCCAAAACTACACCTGTCAGAATAAATATATATGCTTTCTACTTGCTGCCATTACATCAAAGATGATGTTCCAAGTTCTCAGCTAACTAATGTGAGTCTTTTCATCACTACATTAATGAATCCATTTTAATCTTCCGCATTGAACAAATAAAATACATTTCTTGATGGGTATCACACTAACTTCATTAGGAGAGCAGGAATCTGGTTAAGATATTTTGCAATTCTGTTTAGTAAAGGGATGCTGTTATCTTCAGTGCTGATGGAGTCCTTGTTCTTTCATTCATATGTATTAAAAGATTCTACAAGTGGTTACAGCTTGTGTTATTTATCAGTTTTTCCTGTTTGCCTTCTCTTGCGCTGTGTTGTAGAACATAAAGGAATGATTGTGACAAGTAGAGAAACTGACTCCTTTACTGACCAAGAAGATAGTCTGGAAATCAGAGCTAGGAAACAAACAGAAAATCAACCCAGATTTCCACCAAGTTATTTGGTCCTTGCAAACAGGCTCTTTCTGAGTGATATTCAGTAAATTAGTTTGGTGAATGAGGCATGAGAGTAGACTGTAAGATATTTCCCTGCTTCGTTCATCTACCGGGCTTCTCAGTTGCAGTTTAGTTCCACTTGTATGTACATCTGGCTATTTAATCTGTTGTATAAGATAATCGGAATAATTAATAGCACCTTGAAATCATATGGTGTAAAGTTTTTGTCTAAGAGATACCAGCTACCTTAAATGCTAGTAGTTGGTACTTTAAATGCTGCTAGCTAAAGTTATTATTCAGTAGAATAATTAAATAACTAAATAACATCACGTCTCTCCTCCCCCAGGCCGCTCCTTACACTCACACTCTGCTTCAGTAATACATTTAGAACATCACCACAAACAAGAAATGCAGTTTTCTCTAGTGTTTTGTGGGTCACTGGTGATTAATGTTTCCAAATCACACTGTTTTTCAGATTAGTACTGAACTTTTTCTTAATCTGTGAAGTAGTTATCTGGAGGCAGAGAATACTTTAAAGATCTGTCAGTGATATGTTCTATACTCTTTCTTGAACTCAAAATTTCATTAAGCAGGTTTCTAGTTCTTTGTTTGCTGCCATTTTTAAATAAAGCCTGTTTTCTGTTATTTTTAAAATCTGTGGATTTTGACAATGTGGCCTTGCATCATAGGTTTAATATGAATTGTCCCACTGCACAAATAGTGATGAAAATCATTACTATCCAGCTTGCTTTTACTGTTTGAATGATTTGATATTAATACAAGATACTTGCAGAGACTTACTGAAATAGACCATACCTTGACTTTCTGTTACCCTTGACTTGCATGTTTTAGTCTTGTCATAATTAAACTTGGTGGTGTGGTGTATGTGGAGTGTGTTATTTTAAACTTTTTTCTCTGTTTCATTACAGTTGATTTAATACACTAAAATATGTATAGATGTTCATATATCCAGTCACAGCTCTCCACTCTTTCTGTTGTATTTGAAAATACATTGGATTTAATGGAAGAAGCTGAGCGAGAGTTAAGTGTCTAGGAAATTCAGTGATTGAGTTACATGTACACATTCAACCTTTTATTCAGTTTGAAAAAGTTTTAAATTCTTTCGTGAACTCTTAAAGCTGATATTCTGTGTGCTGTTCCTTTGCAAATTAAGATGGCATGCCTTCAGGTGAGCCTCCTATTTAACATTTTGCTATTTTTATTGAACAAAATACTCTAAAACCAATGCCAGTAGTAACTAAAGAACTGATAACTGAATATACTGGGAAGTCTGAAATTTTTTATAAACTTCCAATAAAAGTATAACCAACTTGGTCACGGTTTCAGCCACTGTGAAGTGTGTAGTATTTTCTTTTTTTTCTGCAGTGCTTGACATATAATCAGGTTGCACTGAGCAAATCACAGCATTAACAGATGAAATAACTTCTAAGAAGAACATGTTGGCCATGATCAAAAAAATGAAGATAAACTGGTAAAAATCACTTGAGTCATTTTAATCTTTGGGATTGTGACCACAAGGATACTTTAAGTGCATCTGAAAAATGACAACAGATTATTTTTAGATTGACAGTTCTATGAATAGGTTAGAGCTAGTTACGATGCTTCATGTATCTTCTCAATAATCACATGTGATGAAAGCCTTTTAATGAGGAAGCATAGGGTGGTTGAATGCCCTATAGTTTTGAAGCTGTGTGAGAAATATACTTAGAATTGTAGAATAGTTAGGGTTGGAAAGGATGTTAAGATCATCAAGTTCCAGCTGCCCTGCCATGGGCCTGGACAACTCACACTAAACCATGTCACCCAAGGCTCTGTCCAGCCTGGCCTTGAACACTGCCAGGGATGGAGCATTCACAGCTTCCCTGGGTAGCCCCTTCCAGTGCCTCACCACCCTCACAGTAAAAAACTTCTTCCTTATACCCAGTCTAAACTTCCCCTGTTTAAGTTTGAACCCATTACCCCTTGTCCTATCACTACAGTCCCTAATGAAGAGTTCCTCCCCAGCATCCTTGTAGGCCCCCTTCAGATACTGGAAGGCTGCTATGAGGTTTCCACGCAGCCTTCTCTTCTCCAGACTGAACAGCCCCAACTTTCTCAGCCTGTCTTCATACAGGAGGTGCTCCAGTCCCCTGATCATCCTCGTGGCCCTCCTCTGGACTAGTTCTAACAGTTCCATGTCCTTTTTATGTTGAGGAAACCAGAACTGCACACAATACTCCAAGTGAGGTCTCACGAGAGCAGAGTAGAGGGGCAGGATCACCTCCTTAGACTTGCTGGTCACGCTCTTTTTGATGCAGCCCAGGATACGGTTGGCTTTCTGGGCTGTGAGTGCACACTGCCAGCTTCATGTTAAGTTTCTTATGGACCAACACCCCCAAGTCCTTCTCCTGAGGGCTGCTCTGAATCTCTTCTCTGCCCAACCTGTAGCTGTGCCTGGGATTGCTCCAGCCCAGGTGTGGGACCTTGCACTTGGCATGGTTAAACTTCATCAGGTTGGCATCAGCCCACCTCACAAGCGTGTCAAGGTCCCTCTGGATGGCATTCCTTCCCTCCAGCGTATCAACCGAACCACACAGCTTGGTGTCACCAACAAACTTGCTGAGGGCACACTCAATCCCACTGTCGCTGTCACTGACAAAGATACTGAGCAAGATATACTTGATACACTGTAAAAGTTTTCACAGGTCTGAAAACAGGTGTAAATACCATTTTTTGAAGAGGTCTGGCAGAGTGCTGTAGGAGCTAAAGGACTGAGGCAGGTGTGTTTATTGATTTGTGTATGTATTGTGTTGACATCAGTAACAATCAAGGCATTAAAAAAAAAAACAATTGAAAGTGGTACCTGTATTTACTAAATAGAGTATTTTCATCAATTAACATGGGAAAATTATCTGTGTCCTTCCTTGTATATACCTTGTAGTATCTGTACCTTCTGTGGTGGCACTGTGCTTTTGTTCTGTGTTCTCCCTAGAGCCCTTTGCTGTAGTGGTAGCGATAGAGTTTATGTCCAGGCTTCATGGGTGCTTAGGTTCCTAACTTATATCATTCGTTCTGTGGAGCATTGCTAGAGAACTACACAAGGAATCCCTGCTGACTCCCCTTAATATCCAGTGTAAACCTCCCTGATGCAATTTGAGGCCATCTCCTCTTGTCCTGTTGTTGCTATCCAGCAGCAGGTGGACAGTTTAAAGTAAACCTTCATTTCAAAATTGTCCAAAAAGAGAAAACTTTCAATTTTTGTTCAGATTCTAATTTGTGTTTATGCGAACACTGCATTTCTAACTTGGGCTGGCAGAAAGTCCTTTATAATATTAGCAGCATATATAAATGTTTATAAAAAGTTCATTGTAGTTCCATTCTTGAAGGAACGGTGGGCAAATGTGAAAGCACATTCGCTGCTTCTGTCACCCTCCATGGAAAACAAATTATGTGATTATAGGTTTATATATAAAAGTAAGAAGTTTAGTTTTGGTTTTTTAAGAAAAGGAGCGTGGCGATTAAGAAGGTGGGGAGAGATGATGCAGTCTCTATAAAGATGAGGCTGTTTCCGATCTGAATATAAAGTTTGTAATGTAATGAATGTCTAGAGGTTGGCAGATAGTTTGCAAATACAGGGAACTTCATTTAATCCTCACAATTATTATACTCTGGTTACAAAACCTCTTGGAAATCAAACAATTCTGGGTTATAGGATGAAAGAA